GAAAGGACTTTCTTGGCTTCCGCATAGTCACCATCCCGTACAATCTCGAAGAGACGGTCTCGAGTAGCAGTGGACATTTCGGCTTCTTCCGTCATTGCGACGAAATGACGAAACGCGCCTCTTGGTTGATGCTGGGCCAATTTTGAGCCGAAGCATCTTGTGAAGAAGATCAGGCGTATCAGGATCCCAGACTAGCATTTCGGCAGATTGGCCGTGTGTATGTATCTATGTATGCATGTATGCATGTATGCATGTATGTATGCATGTATGTGTGTATATGTGTATGTGCGCAGTATGACTATGTCTATGTCTATGTCTACGTCTATGTATATGTATATGTATATGTATATGTATGTATGTGTGAAAATACGTGTAGAAATATAGAGCACAGTCAAAATGCATGAATCTATTGGCATATACAGGGGTGGCATATATACATAACAAACAGGCTTGGGCCCTTAGGCGACTTCCGTCCTTGTCCAGGGCAAGTCGGCGCAGGATTCCTCAGCTGCAAAGGGCAATGCTGTGCCACGGTGGGCCTTTCGGTCTTGATTCTTGATTGAGGGCTTGTATGAGGCTCTTTACGTTTGACTCTACTAGTAGCATTTCTGAGCTTTCGGGTTGAAGGCTCAGGGTTTGAGAGATTCAAGGATTCGTCTTAGGGCAGGAGGGCGTGGGCTTGCAAATCAAGGTGCTGCGTCCACGCGCAGGGTCTCCGATGTCCGAAGACTCCCTTGACACAACTCGCTGGGATTTTGCACAGCACTGTCGAGCTTGAGCAGGAATCTGCTGCCAAGCCCGGCACAAATGTTTTGCGAGACTCAGGTTTCCCAAGAGGCCACCATTCCTCAGTGACTGCTGCCGAACTCTTAGCACAGACCACATTACCACCCTGTCATCTGAGTGAATGACTCTATGAATAGTGGCTCCTTGGCTGCATTTGCCGGATAAGGCACAGAGAAAGACCAGGTCTGCTATGAAAAACTTGTGCATGCATTCGAGCATCATGGGGCACTTGCAGGACCATAAGGTGCGGGGAAATCCTTAAGGTGCGCACGCGCCGGGCACAGAAAGTCAGGCGAAAGTACGAAACCTCATGGAGCAGAGTGGACAGCCCGAGGCGCAAGACGCGGCCCCCGGTGGTCGTCACAAGATCTCCAACCTTCTTCAGGATGGATCCCTTCCCTGGCATAAGCACACTTTTCAACCTCCGCGGTGTAGCGATGGTGCAAAAACCGGCCTGAGTCATGCGGACCCAAAATCTGGATGATCGATCCTGGTCATCGCACATGTCCACCGCCCGACATGGAGACAAAGTGCCCGTGACATCGAACAGTGCCTTGCGGAGCCTGTGTTGACAAATTCGACAAATTGGAATGCTCCTTGCAACTCCCCAAAGGCTCTCCGAGTGCTGTGCTCTCTGCTTGCGGGTGCCCAGCACAACGATGTCACGCTGATACATGGTAATATGATCTTTGCGCTCACAGAGCGACTGCTCGCCGCGCCTTAGACCTTCCTTCCTGGGTTCCTGACTGAGTAAGCCTTCCAAATTTGGGGGTTTCCGAAATAATAGGTTCCTTATTATAAGGACCCCAAAATAAGGTACCCCCAATTTTCTGAAACCCCCGTTTGTCTGCAAGATCAACAGACAAAGGCCCGAAGTGTTGAGCCTCCCAACATGTTCAACACTCCTCCCAAACACGCACATCCACACAGCTTGCAAAAAAGCATGCCAAAGCTCGATGCTAATGTCTTTGAAGACAATCGGAATCGAGTCAAACATCGGTGCCTCGCAAAGCATCCAGTGCAGTAAGGTGTGGAACAACTGTTTTGGACGACCACAACCAAATAACATCACTAACCCTCTAGGACTCTAGGCGCTATCGTGGATTTTCGGACAAGGCACCGTTGAGAGGCCCAGCACGAACTCCTCTCGCATTTTGTGGGCTTCACTGCGTTCTGGTATGTCCTCGGCTCGCTACATGCATGCATGATTAGACTCTAACAGACGTACATAGTTGGCAAGACTCGATGGGCAAGTTGAACTGCGTGGTGAGCGCAGCCAGAGGACTGATTGCCTTGCTCAGGCATTCCAGGCCTGCCGGGGGCATCCGGGGGCCAGGGATGGCCAGGGCTTTTGGGTCCTGTTAAGGAGGCGAGATCCAGGGCTGGTCGAAGACCACGAAAAGACTCAAGCACAGCGCAGCTGCGTTTGGGATGTCCTGCCTTCCAGAATCGTCGCAAACCTGTCTCCGAGATCCTGCACGGATCTTATTTGAGAAAGTGTGCAGGTCTAGACTTGGGTTGGTCCCGGTTAGGCATGTTGAGTCTTTGGTCTCAAGACCTAACTTGCAGGAGATTGAAATACCAAATTTAGGGTGCCTCGATCCTTCTCATGATGGCATGGATAAGACTTCTGCGGAACGAACAGACAAAAGTATCTGCGAATGCTCACTACTGATGAACGATTTCTTCTGAACTCAGCCACAAAGGCCACCAGCTGTGGATCTTTCAGCGACCTTGTAGACGTTGATGGTGGCGAGGAAGGAACCAAGCGAGGTTGATCCACCCAGAACCAGCCGGGACGAAAGTCCTCAGCACAGCTCGAAAATCCGGTGTGCAGTGCATCGTCAGCTTGTACGAACTGTTGCGTGGCATTCACGGCAGCTGTCGATGGAGTAAGAAACGAAACGAAACTCAACGGTATCAACTGACGTCCTGCAACAGGCCGATGATGTCGCATTCAGGATGGGGCACTACTAACAGCCACTAACAATTCGTCTGCCAAGTATCGGGGCAGAGACTAACATCTAACATCAAGAAACATCAACGAAAATGCAAATCTTGCTTCCAATGACACCAAGTCTCACCACGAAGAAGGCGAACAGCAACAATATCCCACACACACACACACACAGTCGAGAGTCAATAGCAAGATGCTTGGCAAAGTAAGCTACAACATGCTACGGCCACTGACAACGCTATCAACGCGACAGCCGCCAAACATAGGCCGCGACACCAAGTCTATGCCAAAGTATCGCTCGAACTATTGTATGAAGCTTATCAACCTTTTGCGATGCCTATCCCGACGACGACGACGACGACGACGACGACGACGACTTCCACACGCGGCGTATTTATGCGGCCGCCCCCCCCCTCCCCCCCTCTCCCCTCCTTCCTTCTACTACTCAACTTCCCATGAGGGAAACTACACAATGGAGACGAGAGGCCTATGTATGTGCCGATCGCGAGAAGCGTGATCCAGGGAATCAGCTGTCCATTCCAGAATTCAAAGAATTTCCTGTTCAATGCCAACATGGAAGCAGCACAAGAGCACACAAGAAGCACACACACACACACACACACACATCGGCACAGGATCTTCGCTCACGCACTTCCCCTAGGTCAAGCATTGGGACTTACCCCAATTCGTGCTGACCGAGGAACAGATCCATGACCCACTTTCTCTGGTTTCGCAGCGATTCTTCGAAGCGACCTGCAGAAACAACGTCTTGAAATTCTGAGTTCAATCTGAGATTGTTCTGCGACTCATGCTAAGATACACACACAACGGTCACAAGAAGTAAAGCTCGTGTGCAGGGAAGGTGCGCACCACGTAGCTGCGCTTGTTGTAGCTGCCTATGAGCTTCTGTGCCTCGGCTCGGGCAGCTCAAAAAGCCACTTGCAAGGAACCTAAGCCAAGATGCGTTGTTCACATGCATCAGAGTCCCGATCGTGGCGCTCTGTCCCTCGCCTTCCTCACAAAATGACACCATGCTGACAACCCCCACCAACTCGCCTACTCCCATCACGTGAACAGCGCCTTCGCCATGAGGGCTAGTCTTCTCCTCGGCAGGATTGCATCGGGGCGTACCGTGCCCATTCACTTTTGGAATCAGAGCGACAGACATCAAAAGGAGCGAGATCACACGGTCCGAGCCCTGCCAATTGAGCAGCCTGGCGACCGGTACGTCACGGCCAAGTAGATGGAGATGAGAATTGGGTACACGAAGAGTGGGACAGCACCTGATCCAGGCCATTGTTGCCGAATGCCATTTCTCAAAGAGGGCCTGGCTTCTGACCCGAAGCCGATAGAGTAGGGTGCGTGCTGCGGGGGTGTTTCCGCAACATGAAGATGCCCACCATCACAATCTTACCGAGCATCGCCCAAAGCTCAAAGATGATTAAGTAACCTGAGCTGTGGAAGCCTTCATGGACGGCAACGGTAACTCCATGCTCTGGCTGCAGACCGGCAGCCATCCGAGACTAGATCCGGAATGTCTTCCATGATGCTGATCTTCAAGTCCTCTGCAACTCCGAGCGAGCTGAAACATCAAGACACGGCTGCTACATGCAGCCAGCTGCAAAAGCACAGATCCCGGAACCCAACGTGCATTCTCACTCAACCGCTGCGGCTCCTGGACTGGAACCTTCGCCCGGGACTCGGGTGTGTAGCGCAGATACTTCCGGAAGAGATTCACACGGAGATGGTACCGGATGTTGAAGCCTAAGACGGAGGCGGAGGCATCGCAGGCTTCAGCCGCAAGTCCCCCCGAAAGCACAAGACCGCTGAGGTCATAAAGCAAGCTTCCCATCTCCAACACGGCCATCTCAAAGTAGTCCGTGCCCAGCAGAAGGAACTCGGATTCTTCTGTCTCTTTGCACGGAAACCGCAGTTTAGAACCCCTAAAGGATCGCTATGCCGCTATGGATCCCTAAGTCTGCAAGCCGTTCATGAGACACTCTAAGATGCGAGCGTTTGGTAGAATCCAAGCCAGGCCTAGTGCGACGGCCGTCGCATCCCGATCGCCTCGAACCTCAGAGGTCCAGGGGAAACCTCCTCTTTCAGTATGCTGCAGTGGCCAGTCGGCTTGATGGCCCTGGCAGTAGAAAACAGCGAGGGTGGCGTGCAAACCACTGTGAGACTTCGTCATGTCGGCAGGTGCATCCCAAGCGGGAGAAACATCGGCGGGGCTGACCAAGCTAATTCACACACAGCCGCCGCCCCCGATCCAGAGCTTTGGCTTCACAATGCCGCCGCGACGACAAATGTCCGAGGCATGTCACACACACACGAGAGAGTTCCCTGATCGACGGAGAAGAGTGCTGACTGCTGTCTTTAACACCATACGTCATTTGTGCTTCTGCACTCAAAAACACAGCCTCACCCACAGACTGCACACTCGCACAACATCTGGCTCTTCTCCCAGCTTTCTTGGCACTGGACCCAAAGGCGATCCGATGTGCTTGGGTCCTGCAAACATGTTAATTCAAACTCTTACTTGGCCCCAGCAGAGGCTCCTCGGTATTCAACACGGTGTCAACGAGGTAAACCCTGGCGCAAGGCGGGCCATAGAACTAGCAGTAGGGTTTCCTTTTTTGTTAAGACCTCTTTCTGCCTGCCTATCCAGTTAGAACGCGTAAAAGGCTGAGGAAGCGGGGATGAGAGGCGAGTCGGCCGCAGAGGTCGGGAACAAGCGGGGACAGTCGGGAACAGAGAGGGTGCACAAGTCAGGAATAGCCGGGGGCAGAGTCAGGAGCGTCGGCGGGACAGTCAGGAACAAAGCAGGGACTGATTCCGGAACAGAGAAGGTTAAATGTCATGCTTACGAACCAAGGGGTACATGTAATGCTTACAAGCCGGAGACAACGACGTGCTGAGTAGTACGCATGCACCCACTGCCACTGTTTTGCTGCAACGCAGCGGGCCGGCTGGTGCACTACCTGAAAACCGGACACTTCCTCAGAGAACTTCCGGCACATACCGGAATCGTCAAGTGAGAGGGGGTGTTTAAAATATGCGATCAATCGGAATCGCCAAATGGGGCGGCGTGTTTAAGATAGATACCGGAATCGCCACGTGAGGGGCATGATTAAGATATACGATGAATCGGAATCGCCAACTGAGGAGCGTGTCTAAGATGGATGATACCGGAATCGCTCAGTGAGAGGGCGTGGGTCTCAGTTCTAATGTAGGGTGTGTGCTGACTTCTGCTCCGGACTCTGCGCGTTGCTGTTCCTGACTCTGCGCGGCTTTGTTCTGGACCACTCTCCGTCTGTTCTGGACTATTCCGTTCCTGATTCAAAGGGCATGCGGCGAACTCGACCATCCAAGGTAGCAAAACAGAGACCACAACACTAGCCATCCAAACTATGAGATAAGTTCAACCAACTGCCATATGCTAATTGCTGGGTGTCTGTAAAACTGCTCCACTTACAAGGCCTCCAGGCTCATCCTAACTCAGAACCACCACCCCGTAATACCACAAAGAACCCGAACCTTCTCCTACCGTCTACCATGAAGGCCTGTTTCAGGGTCTAGGGTATATCCCATGTGGGCTGTTTGCAGGCTACCTGCCACGCCACCAGCCTGAGGAAGATGGTCGCAAGGTAGTAAAGGTTTCCAAGGTTGGCGAGAAGCAACACCAAGATGGTCTTCCTAGGTGGGGCATTGGAGAACTTTGGTGGGGAGGGGGGGAGGAGGTTGTCAGACAGTCTCAGATGGATGAGGCATCCGAGGGTCCACCAAATCTCCGGAACATGGTGAAAACAGAAGCCTGAGACACAGTTCCGTGGCAGATAAATAGAGGCACCGACTCTTGAAAGGTCCAGAGTCCAAACGATAATATTAGTAAGGCCACAGGGTAGGATATGTGGCATTTCGACAGGCGAAGCATTCAAGTAGAAAGTCTCGGAAGTCCAGACTCGGCAAATCGCCACGGTACAGCCGAAGTACCCATGAAGGACTTGAGCAAGCTAAAGCCGACCTGCTCAAGCGGTAGGTTTCAGCTTCTGGACCTGGGATGCAAGGAGCTGGCCTCGTAGAGCGCCTCTTCGTCATGATCTTCGATGACCTCCCGATTCCCGCCAGATCCAGAAGCTTTCGGTGGGGAATGGGCGAAAATCAGCAGGTGGCTTTCCCGCTCCCATTGGGCAAATGCTGACAAAGGCTTATCATATACATGGTCAATGTGCCAGGAAGCTTGAACTAAGCAGAAACCTCCTTGTGGTCGTTTGACGGAAACTGGTCGTCGTCCAAGATCATTACCTCCATCATGGGAACAGCCGTAAAAACCGTCGAATTCATCGCTGCTACTCCTCCTCCACCCACCACTCCTGCCCCGACCTCCTCGCACAGCTGTGCTGGTTTCTGTATAATGCTCCTACTACCACTGCTACTGCTGCTGCGGTGGCTAGCTTGACGACAGCAATCCGTCGACCACGAGAGAAACCCGGGCCATTGAAACTGCCGAGCAACCACGCATATGGCACATCGTGGATCGATGAGGCAGTTCTCAGGCTCGTCAAGCTGAACGTCAAACTCCAAGGTCGTGTCGAAGGCATCATCATTGAGGATTTCTACCCTGGCAACATGCGCAGTCATCGACGTTATAATTTCACTTGAAATCATGTGCCGTCCAAGGTTCTGAAAAGTCCGAATGCTTTCACCCGGGCCGAAAGTGATTGTTCCGCCCCCTCAGGAACTGACAGCGAATTCCACTCCTCAGGCGCACCCTTCCTCGAATCGTCCTGCGACCCGGCCACCTTCCACGTACTTTTTCCCCTTTTCCGCCGAACCGTCCTGCATTCGGACGACACCGTCCGCTTGTGTACACCAATACACGTTTATCGGCCGACCAGTCTGGACAAGTATGTTCAACGCCGCTCGTAATGAACGTGAAAGATGTTGCTCAAACATGCAAAATACTCATCCCAATCTGTCTGTTCTTTCAACCGGGAGGGGGAAAAGTCACACTACATCTGCCAGAAACAACGATCGGGTAGACTTTCACCTCACCTCAAAAGCTCGGTATGGCTGAATTTCATTCAGCTTCGCTGACACAGGGCAGGTTAGCTGAGACAAACGCTTCGCCGCTGCATGGGAGACGGCAGCTAGGAATCTGCAATGGAAGTGTCCCTTCGTTCATGCCATGCACATCAAGAAACAAGTCGCAGCAAATCAAGCAGACAAACTTCCCTGAAGGGGGGTTTTGCTCACTCACGGTACAGCATATTGCCTGCAAGCGCATGTACAGGCATAGGAAAAGGCGACCACATGTGGGGGTAAAAACGTGGGCATCTCTGTAACAGTCCGCATCACATCACGTGCTTCTCAAACCCAAGATACTGCTACGGGGTATATAACCCCCCGACATGTACGAGACCTCGGTACGACTTACGGGTTATTCTGGACGCAACAAGGCTAGCTAGTGTTGCCCCTAGCCTTGCTACTCTAAGAAACCATTGCCTTCATCAAGTGGTGGTTGCCATGCTTCTAAGCCGTATTGCAGATAATGCAAGAGTTGGGTATTGCCTACACCTTGGCTGATGAAGAACTGCCTCGATTTTGGATGCTGTGGCTACGTCTTGCATCAAACCTTCCACTCACCGCAGGAGAATCGCATATAGCAAGACACGACTGACAGCATAAACCACTAGCCAGGAAACAAGATGTTCAGGACTCTTGAATCTTAGCTGAAGGGCGCATGTCGCGACTTCGTCTGGATGCAGACGTGCGTTTTTGCCGATGTTCCTTTATTCCGTGTACGAACTGACAAAACCACAAAGAATATAGTTTTGGGGTGTTTGTGGGTCTATGTGTGTGCATTATAGCATTTGTTAGTGTATAGATGTTAATGATGTCGATATGTCCATGAGCATAGCAACTTCAGCTGGGTACTATGATGTGTCATGTGTGGTGATCGTGTGTGACGACAGTATTATTGTTACGCAGTCAAAAGGACAGAAAATGCTGAAGTAAAGTGCTGATAGACAGTCACACAGGCAGACAGGCAGGCGAGCAGACAGACGGAATCATTGACCAATAGATTAACAAACTGATGTGTACCCCTGCGCTGAGTTATAGATCAAGACAGTATTTATATACAGTTGAACGAACCTTGCAATAAGCAATGACAAGATGTACAGATGCCATGGCCAATTTCTGGCGGCCGCTTTCTATATGCTTCTTCCTTTCACCACGAATTTAGCAGTTTAGCACTGTTTCATATCTCCTGGGTTTGCCACATGACGGAGCAGGAGCCGCGCAAGTCGCCTGAAGCACAAGAACGACACACTCGTTGGGTCAGCCGGCAAAAGCTGGCCTATTCGGATCACCCGTATGATGGCAAACTCCTCTGTCTCTTTCACATAGAAAATCTTCGAGAGGAACTGCACCACGTCGCCATCCTGAAGAGACTTGGGGATTTTCACGCCTAGCGCAACCGGCCAGCCCAAGCCTTCGCCGCAAAGGTTGGGCGGCCAGTCCTTGCGCTTGCGTACTGCCTGATTCTGGAAGCGAGCTCAGCAAGCTCAGGTTTTACAGTTTTTTTCCAATGCAGCCAGCTCACTGGTAGTCACCATTGTTGGTCTGGAGCTGGAGCTGTCGCCCTACTGCAGGGCCGGCGGATTGGACCTCTGCCACACCAAAACCACACAGAGGCTCAGGTTTTGCTTTTACCTGGGAGTCTTGCCAATCTTTGTAGATCCTGTGCACGGTTACCTGACAGAAGAAACGATGTAGGAAAACGTGCTGTGAGTGCCCTACAGGCCATTCCCAGGCGCCTGATCTCAATGGCAGTAGGGTGGCACTTGCAGCGGAACCGGCCATCGCCGAAACCCATATGTGGGCTAGATGACATGAGATGACTAGACCCTAGATGTTGATTTTCGTGGTGATGTAACAGTGCAATAGGGGGCATTGTGCGATATTGTGCGAAATGCATGTTCATAGCTCCTTGAGCCTCCATGAAACAACGTCTAGCAACGACAGCTGTGTCTCAGAATGCATCAACGGCCAACTCCTGCGATCGGCGTCACCTCGTCCATCTCATCGGTCGCAAAAAACTCAACAAACTCTGCCTGGGCAGCCGCTACACAGTCAATTAAACAAGTTCCGGCGTGCAAGCTTGAACGGTCAGTGGTAAGAGCACCAGCAGCAACAACAACAGTCGCAAAGCTGCAACAGAATAGGAGACGAGGGTAGGCTAAAGCGACGACCGCAGGAACTGTAGACCAAGTTCCATCGTCGGGGCACCGGTTGCAGCGTCTTGTGGGCGTGGTACGAGGATCCGATCTCCTAAGCTCGGAGAGCCGAAGAAAACCCAGGCACAAGAGAACTCCAACCTTGTCATCTGCAAGTCTGCAAGCAAGCCGCATCGCGAATGACCAAGTACTTCTGCGTCTGCTCTTGGTCTATGACGACACCTTCCCCGGCCTGGGACGATCAAACTTCTCTCGCGCTTCTAGTCTGTCCAGCAGGTGCAAAATCTTCTCTGAGAAAGGAGCTGTGTCGTTCCATTTCAGAACATACCCGAATGTTCGAGGATACCTTTATCCCCACACACGAAGAGCAGACGATTCCTGCTACGACCCTGTGTGTACAAGCTCAAACATCTGAGCTTCTGGCGTAAACTGCGCGCACCACCGGCGGTGTCTCAAGCGCTTGAGGTACTTCTCCCTAGTTGTACCTTCAAACCTGCCATCCCAGAGTTGGGAACATGTGGGAAGACCCTGCTGTGAGAGACAGAGAAGCCTGAACTTTTTCTCGACGGGTATCTTGAGCGACTGCATATGCACCTTCGGCAAATGCGGGAACGAGAAAAACAGATCCAAACTCAAGCTTTCTTGATAGTCATCCTCTGCGCTGCCCTTCGGAACATGGTTAACATCAAGCGAGGGATTTTCAAACTACACAGGCATTGTCAATGGCCTGTACTTGTCTTGTTTCACCACTGACAACCTTGGAGATGCCCTCCACGAAGGTGGAATCAGAACCTGCGGTATCACACCGAGTGCGCGTGGGAGTAAACCACCACATGCAGTGGAAACACTTCTAACTCGGCAGCCTCCTGCGCTTAGCTTCCACAAAAGCAAGCCCGCCGCTGCCAACAGCACATGTCCTGCCGAAACCACCGATCCACGGATGGTTGGTCATCCACAGAAACCGAACCTCGCCTGCTGCTAAAGTCCTCGCACGGCCAGCTGGCCGACACTCCGCCTGCGAATGTGCAACACCGTGTGAACCCTTACAAGCCTATGCCTTGGGCACGAACCACCCGCAAACAACAATGCGCCATAGCTCATCCCTATTGCAGAATGCTGTGCCTTCCCATGCATCGTCATGCTGGGAGCAATGCAGCTGGTGGCAGTTTGAGCAACTGCCAGCTTGTACAAGCAGAACCAACTCACGACTCTTGACAACACACCCGCAGTTTGTCACCCGGACAAACATTTTTTTTATTGATTTAGCATCCAGATTGAAGATCAGCTGTGGTGATGCGTGATGCGGCAACACGAAAAGATTGAAAATTCTTCTTCGTTGTTCTTGACATTGAGCAAATGATGGCACCACGCGATTTAAACAAAAAAAGGACGACCAGGTGTGAAACGAAGCATGCAGACGTTGTTTTGTCCCAGCTTCAAGCAGCTCCTTCCGTACGCCGGACTTGGGTGGAGCAAATTCGTTTTTACTCTTCGTCGTGACAAGCAACGAAGTGATTGAAATGATCGCATCGTGTTCTTTCGGCGTCTTCTTGGTTCCTTGTCAAATGGCTTTCGACATTATGGTTCGGACATAACAGACATGTTTTCATTCAGCACCACAAACTCCGGGAATCGAGAAAGTTTGGCTGGCCCTTGACAGCTTACGCTAAGCACTCTGCGAGGCTGCTGTTCGTCTTCAACGGCATGGGAATTGGGAATCGCGACTGAGTTCGTCGCTCGTGTGCTCGTGGCGATGCTCTTTTGGGTGATCTCCCATGGCACGTTCAACAACTATAACCGAAAAATAATACAAATCCAATCATGGTGATGACCTCTCGCTATCCACATGTCTACGTCCTTCACCCAAAAAGGAGATCATGATGTGACCCGAATTTGAGACTTCTGCAAGCTGTTCGACAAACTGTGACGACCTTGCAAACAAAAGGCGGCACACGATGGGTGGAAGACAGCCAAAACTCTTGTATTCAAAAAGCAAACGTTGATGTTCTGCGTAAAGGCAAACGTTGATGTTCCGCTTTCTTCAAGCTCCTCAATTTGCCGTACTGCAGAAAATACTACGGCACGTCCAAAGCCTCCACACCATCTCAGACAGCTCAGCGAGCTTGTGTGATCAGCTTTTTGAGGAAAGAGTCAGTCTCAAAACAACAAAAAAGTTGCAATGCTTATTCCAATGCAAACACACGAAGAAAGGAGCCCGGGTCACTTAGCCAACCCCCAACACGGTCACTTGGCCAATCGGAGAGCGCATCGTTTTTCAGGTCACTTAGCAAACCCCGAGCGGTCACTTAGCCAACTCTCGATTTTTTGGCTTGGGGTTTCCTTTTCGGATTCAGGGTTTAGGGTGTCCCTTACGGTTTCGGGCTTAGGGTTTAGGGAATAGGGTTTAGGGTTTCCTTTTAGGGTTTAGGGTTTAGGGTTTAGGGTTTCGGGTTTATGGTTTCCTTTTAGGGTTTAGGGTTCAGGGTTTAGGGTTTCGGGTTTCCTTTCAGGGTTTGAGGTTTGAGGTTTA